TATCAATTGTTTTTTTCACTTTGTAACGTCTACAATAGTCTAGTTGGCTTCTGTCCTTTACCGGACTGTCAGCATTATTATAACTACATAATCATGTAACTACATCATTGTTGTGGCTCACTAATCCGTTTATTTTTCTCCTTATGGTCATGTAAACTCAAGACTAGTTTGTTTTGGTTTTTATTTCTAGTTAATTCTAGTTTGATAAGTTTATTACAGAATGTTAGCATTTTTGAGAAATTTTAGGAAAGCTTAATATCTCAAAGCACTTTTCCTTTTAGCAACGCTTTAACAGTTCAGTGCCTACTTCACATGAATCGTTGTGATCTTGCTGGCAAGGCTGTTCGACGTATGCAAACTGCAGATGAAGATTCTTTAGCAGCACAACTTGCCGCAGCTTTATACTACGTGAAAAAAGTATGTTTCTGATAGTGTTGGTCAAAAAAACATATGCATCCCACCATTTCGCTTTGTAAATAATATTCATTTTGTCCAGGGCGGTGATCAGCTACAAGAAGCCGTTCACATATATGAAGAACTTAAAGAAAAACATGGACCTTCAACTTTACTGTTAAATGGTCAGGCTGCAGCTTTGATGGGTATGAATAATTGGGTTGAAGCCGAACCAATCCTTCAAGAAGCTATTGATTTGGTTAGTTTATTACTTATTTATTTTTCGGTGTCCAAAAATCATCTCTGAAAAGACGAACTAAATAAACGGAAACGTCTTCTATCTCCCCGTTTATTTGAGATGTGCAACAGTTTACAGGTTTTTTCGTAAATTCTCAATACGACTATTTTAGTTGTATATCAATATTTATTACATTTAAATAGTCGTAGTGGTATTCTAAAAATTTAAGATTTCATTCTGTAAGTAGTTTGACTCCATATTGTCAACGTACAGAATTCTACTCATATGATGGTTATTACGATTACCCATAATGTTTCGGTAAATTTTACCAGTCATTAGTGAAAAAGGAAAATAAAATAAGATGTAAATGTAGTTTATAGAATTAATTACTCGAAAGCCATCATAAATTTGCCAATTTATTTATTGATTCTCGCCAAATTTGTTGTAAAGTATAACAGACTGCAACCCAAATGCAATGAGGGATAAGTTTTACCACCAGTTAAGTGTTCTTATACAGGAAGTTTGTTCGACAGATTCTGTAGTACTAGCCGAAGACTCAAATGCGTCGGTCGGGCGTCTAGGCACAGAAGTGTCATTTAGATGGCCAGTGTGAACTTGTTGGTCGCAGGTCAGACAACGGTAACCGTCTACAGCAACTTTGCGCAGAATACAACCTAATTCTGACTAGCACTTGCTATCGGCACAGTCATCACCTATGTGTTACCTGGAGTGCTATGCATCTCAAATCTGGACTCAGATTGATCACACCGCGATCAGCTACCGCTGGCATGGCTGTGTACAGGACTGTCGCTTCTTTTGGAGTACTTATTTAAACTCTGATGGATATCCTTGTTGGCGCAAATTTTATCTTACGTTTCAATGGCCAACAAATTCATCGTCCTAAACGGGTCGATGTCAGCAAATTGGTTTCAGCTTCCGTTGCAGCTAAATATCAAACCGAGCTATGTTCAAGGCTAGCTATCATCCCACCGAAAAGTATAGATGAGCATTGATTGCAATTCATGAAAATGTTGAGTAAATGCACTTGCGATTTCGCGAAACATCCCGCTTATAAGCATTAGGTTCCTTCAGGCTCCTTATAACTCATTGAAGCCCGTTGGTCCATTCCGTGTGACCGCGAGTTTGACCATAAGTGAGGATTGTTACTCAATAGAACTGTGCAAATCTTGTGTAAGGACTGAGAAGCTTGGTAGTCGGAGCGTTCAAACGAGTTAGAAAGATCAGCTGCTTCTGTTAACTGCCTGAAGCTCTTTCAACTCATCCGAGTCACTGGCAGCAAGAAGTTTAGTGTGAATGAAAAAGTTTGTGAAGCTGACGAGATGCCAATCAATAACATCTATCGACATGCAAGCAAAACTGCTCTTATTATTATTGTACCCTCATACACTAATTACTGTTCTTTGTTTCTCTTTTATTGTACTCACCTTCCACTCTTTATCTCCATAACATCATTGCTATTATGTGGCGCATATAGTGCTCCCATGTACCACTGGTTATGTGTTCAAATAAATTAATAAAAGTATAGTATACAACTTTATTGTGTAAGATTGTATCTGTCTGTTATTGTGAAATATATTTAGCGTATTGTGATGCGAATTTTTACCTCACTTAGTATCTCTCTTAAACACATTCTGTAATATTGTTAATACTAGTTATGATTTTTCATCTTTACGAAAACGTATATTACTATACAGATTATTTTCCTAAGAGAATCTTATTTATATATATTATATGTATATTTGTTACATTTTCTAGGATGGTAATAATCCTGATACAATTGTAAATATGATTGTGGTTTATCACTATTTAGGAAAACCGACTGAGGTAAGTATGTTTAATTTTTCATTTTTTATAAAAATAAAACAGACTATCAACAGATTAATATCTCAACTACGGGATTGTTGTAAGGATCATCCATTTCTTTTAGATTATGCAGAGAAGGTAATAAAATCATTCACTTTGAAAAAAACAACAACAACTAATTATGTTATTTTATAGGATGATGAATTTACACGTTGCGCAAAACATTACGCCCCAAGTGTAGCAGGATAATATTCTTTTATATGTTGTATCAGTTTCTATTATCATAATAACTTTCTATTTGTTTTCTTCTTTTTTTCTGTCATTTGGTCTAAAATAAAATGGTACTGATTTTGATCTGATTTTTGTCTTATTGATTATTTTATCTAATCTTGATTAGTTTGTTCGATATAAGTATGTGGTCAATGTAATGTTGTTAGACTTGAGTATGCTTGTTAAAATAAATGTACTTTAGGGTTTTAAATTGTTTTGGAAAATTATAGTAGGGTCAAAATCTACCGTGATAATGTTGTAAGAAAGCTTCAGAGTAAGGTTTCGTTGATAATAATATCATATTTCGTCAACCGAGTTTTATGCGTTATAGGCAATGTACCAACACGATATAAAGGAAAATAGTTAACATTCAGTTCATTTAGGTTCGCTGCTTGTGTCATATTTTATCAGAATATGAAAGTGACCTAAAAGTTGACGTTTTCTCGACTAACCTTATTCTCATTCTGATAACCTCTAGATGTCAGTACACTGAAATCTTATCGAACGTTCTACGTACCAAAAATATGAAGTATGTTAATGATAAAATTGACAGTGATAACGCTTAGATCGTCTTTGTTCTATCGTTGTGAGTACAATCACTTACTGAAAGTGATAGAAATAATTCAACATTGTAATAGATCACTGTAGAGTTCTAGAGCGTGATATTGATGTGATCTGATCGATATGTGGGTTCATTTTATTTGATTCCATGAATTATTATAAATTGTGAACAATAATCACATGGAAGGCTGCAAATTACCAGTTTATACATAAATAAATTTTCTATTAAATTCCATTTTTGATTACTGGTTGATAAATTTATTCTTCTAAGTTGGTTTCTGAGATAATTTTTTCCAAGTTTTGTGTATTATTAGGATTTAGCGGTTATGAATATCATAGAAGTTTCTTCTCATAAAACCTAAAAGTGGTTTGAATTTCCAAAAAAATTATGGACCACATTATAGTGAACAGTGTCATTTCCACATACATTCAACAACAAAATTAGGGTCAACGACAACTAATCTATATTGACAGAAAACTATCATATATGAGTGTCACATATGAGAGACTTCGAATAGCTCACTTTTACCTAGAGTTTGTTCTGATATTGTTGCCTAGAAAGATTTTATAAGCTTCAGAACTAAACCACATAGCGCGAAGAATGAAACTTCACCAAGAAGTGCCATCATCCTTAACTATGACATCTTGTTTGTAAACACATCTATTGTTCAGAAACTAGTTGTGCAACAAAACTCAGCAAATCTGAGTGTAATTCATACTTGAAATTCTCTATGGTCACGAATGAAGAATTTGTACTGTTGAACTACAATTCGATACATTGGTTTCTAATTAGTGTACACATGACAGTTAAACCATATTTGAGTTTAGTAGGAAATTGGGTTTTCTAAACAATTTCCCGATATTGTCTGACTTAGATCAATGTAGTGGGCACAAATCATCACAGTTCTCACTATAAACTATATAATTTCACTATACACCTCTTTTCCTCGGGTATAATTTTTTGCGATAAAATAACCGGTGTCGGGGATGGTTGGAAGAAAATTAGCGTTGGCCAAATCAAAATGTGGCATTGTGGTGTGTGCTACTTATGTAGACATAAGTAGTATATGACGTTAGTCGTGAACAGAATGTCTGGCCGCAGAGAGACAAGAAGATTGAACAGTAAAGACTGAAGACAGAATGCAATTTGTATGAAAATGCGAGAACAATGAAGTCTGAGTCGTTTTGAGACAATTGATGGATATTTTGCAAATTGAGCATTTAATATATGGTTGTTAGATTTTATTAACAAGTTCTGTAATTTGTTGTCAAGTACATCCGATTGTCCCCATCAGTGTTCTTATTCACTACAGCATCAGTGCTTGAAGTCGCTAACTGCTAGTCTTAACCATGTTGGCAGATGCAGACTACTTGGTTGGGGTCCGCGTGACTATCGTAACCACTGGTTGGAGACTCTTGGTGACATGGCACAGAATCGATCACAATGGCGTAGGTGGTGTATACACTCTATGTCTTCCCTTAAACTGTGAGATTAAAACCGCTTCATATCTTTCTTTCTATGAACTAATTTTTTCTTCCTGTACTATGTCCTTATATACAATCTTTCCTTTATATATTATCACCATTGATTTAACCACCCCTATGAATCCGATGTTCATTTTGCGGTGCTAGTGCGGTATGGCAACTTTGACCGATGCATATATGTACCTGGTCCTACGTTGTAGCTGATTGACTATAAAATTAGAAGCAATAATTTGGTCATCTAGTGATATTACTCTTTCTATAAAAAAGTACAAATAGTTAACAACAAATAAATGAAGAAAATTATACGTACACAAATTGAGAAATAAGAAGAATATAGATCTATCAAATTCCTGATACCTGAAGTTTCAAAAATTAATCAAAGTAAAGATTGTTGAAACGTTTTTATAAAGTTATCATCCAATGAAGACAAACTTCAAGTAATCAATTCGCTAATGATTTGTAATCGTGCAATGTAGTTAGTATACAAACAATGTTGTAATTCAACGTTATCTTGTTCTGGTTGTTAAAGGTGATGTTTTTTTTTGAATGTAGAGTTATATAATACGAATTTTTTTCTTTCGATTCATCTTTTTGTTTCATTGAAAAAAAAATTCTAGTAAGATAAATGTAGTAGAAGTTGACAATGTAAACAAATAAGAATGATCTTAATATTCTCCTTGTACACGAAAGACTGACGACAATGGTGCAGATTGATCTGTTCAATAGAAGAAATAAATATTATCTAGACAAATATGAATATGAAATCGGTTAGTGTTATTGTATTCTATTTACTACTGATTTAGCATTGTATAATTCTTATTCTGAAACCGATCTCTAGGACGATATATCATTTATATTATAAAATAAATAATAGTCCTCAATAGATTCTTTATCAAAAGTTTAAATATTCGCAAATAGTTGGCATTAATGCAAAGATGCATAGTGGCTAGCAGTGGAGTCCAGGACGCGCGTTTCGTTCTATTTGAGATTTGTCACGTGGATGTACCTGCATCCTAGAGTTGATGTTCACTCTGAGACTCGAACACCATCGCGTTATCTACTTAGCTACTGAGTCCTGTTAGCCACTTGCTTGTGCAATGAGGTGAAGTTTAAGTTCACTTGATATTGTTTGTTGGAATCTTCCCATTGTTATTTAGGACTGCAATTGATCATACCCTTATTGGCATATATGCGTATTGCCTTGATATAGCCTTACTTCGCAAGCATTATATGCAAAGATTGATATTGGCTAGCAGTGAAATCCAGGACTCGCGTTTTTGTCCTATTTGGGACTCGTTATCAGGACTCAGTAGCTAAGTAGATAACGCGATGGCGTTTGAAGCAAATGGTACTGGCTAGCAATGGAGTGAACATCAACTCTAGGATACATGTACATCCAGCTGACCAGTCCCAAATAAGACGAAACACTCATCTTGGATTCCATTGCTACCCACAATCCATCTTTCCTTATAGAACTTGTAAATTAAGGCTATATCGAGGCAATACACACAGTATGTACATATGCCAATAAGAGACTGATCAATTGCAGTTCTAAAGATCAATGTGAAGATCCAAACAAACAACATCAAGTGAATTAGCAGTTATGTTTAGTTTATTAAGCTTTATGGTTTTCTTTACTAGTAATATTCAGAGTTATTCACAAACTGAATGGCTCATCTATTATTGCTACTCACTATATTACCTAGAAATTTTTTACATCAGAAGACTTAATTTAATCTACACTTTTTAAAGATAAATTTCAGAATAGTATTAAGCATTGATAAATGTTTGTGAAAGGTTTAATTTGAATAATCTTTGGATTTTTCATTAGGATCACAATTTATTATGATGTAATTTATAAGTTCCTTAGTTTTCAGTAGTTTTACAAATGACATTGATTCATAATGGAAGTTGCGGAGAAAAACTCATCTTAAATAAGTAATAGTTGTGTTCACAAGAAAGTAACTGAGTGATGAATTAAATGAAGTTTCAGTTTAAATCCATATCCTGTAACATTAACTATATGAAACGAATTAATAGAATGATATAATCTTATGGTTAAAATTGTACTTACATTAGATAAATTTTGATGTTAGTAAATTATGAAACTGACTATTTTCAACTGAATATTACCTACTATCCATACTACCATTACTACTAATGATAATTTGAGTAGTAATATTTGTAATAGCAGAAAATTTCTATTTACGTAAATGTGCTCATGGAAAATTGTTGGATTGTGTTCGTAAAAAAGTAACTAATAGGTAGATTAGACCAATTGACAAAGAACAAGATATCATTTAGAAACTGTAGAAATAAAAAGATATTTAAATGAAGTATCAAACAGAACAGAAGAATGAAGAGTAGAGCAAAAATATTCAACAAATGAACATTGAAAAACGCACACAATAATAGCAGTTTCCTCATACGTTATTGGTACAGTAGATACTTCCGTATTTAATAATCAGTTTTAGAATGGTATTTTACTTTATCTACTGAAATGAATTAGATAACCAATGGAACAAAGGAATATTAGAGAGCTGTTTCATTCTAATTTTAAGTTCATCATGTATAATAAATCTATCATTTATATGTTAAATCGAATCTATGATTTTTACATGTCACAATTAATAAGTTTCAACTATTGAGCACAATTACTTGACGTAATGATGAGCCTCTTAGTCTCCAATATTTAAATGAAAATATCTATGACCGTAGAGAAAAGTAATCGTAGTGAAGATTCGTTACTAGCCCGTAAAAGTTATATTTGCTAGGCTATTTGTCATTAATGTCAGTCAGTCAATCATATCACGTTTTGGTTTGGCCGCCCCTAACTTCCAACCGTCTCCAACACTAGTCAGCATTGCATGTCGTGGTAATCGGTGTTCAGGCATACGCAGCACGTGGTCCAACCATTTCAGTCGATGAAGATTCATAACCTCATCAACTGATTTACCATCATTCCCTAATACCCTACGTCTAACCTCACTATTACTTACCCGGTGATCCCAGCAGATGCGAGCAATATTTCTAAGGCACCTCTGGTCAAATACTAGTAACTTACGAGTATTTTTTACTCTTAATGGCCATATTTTGCAGCCGTATAGTAGAACGGAACGAACTGCCGCGCAGTATACTCGTCCCTTAATTGATAGACCGATATCTCGCCTGCGCCATAAATGACGTAAGTTGGTAAAAGCCAATCGAGCTTTTCGAATCCGCGCTGAGACTTCTTCAGACACCAACCCATTAGGGCTGATCAGACTTCCAAGATAAGTGAAGTTGTCAACGCGTTCCACTACTTCACTCCCTATCCTTAGTTCAGGTGTTGACGCAGACCAGTCCTGAATCAACAACTTGCATTTAGAGGGAGAGAAACGCATCCCAAACATTCTGGCATTGTTGCTCAGTGCTACCAAATGACTGCATTTCATCAGCGTCTTCACCAAACAGGACTATGTCATCTGTGTATTCCAAGTCAATAAGTGGACTTCCTGGTAAGAGATCAACACCCGAGAATTGAGTCAACGAGAACGTTATTTCCATCAGTAGGTCTATGATAAAGTTAAACAAAAAAGGAGAAAGTGGACAGCCTTGACGGACGCCACTTGAGGTTGCAAAAGCGGATGACAGTTCGCCATAAGCTCTGACCCGACTAGTAGTGTTTGAGTAAAGAGCCTTCACAAGGTTTATGTACTTCTGTGGTACGCCTTTCGATGACAGACACTGCCACATAACCTCTCGGTCCACAGAGTCAAATGTTGCTTTTAAATTAAGAAAGATCATCATTGTCGGACGCCGATAAGCATGCCTGTGTTCTAAAATCTGATGAATGGTGAATATGTGGTCGCTACAGCCACGACCAGGTCTGAAGTTAGCCTGATTTTCTCATGTTTGGAGTTCACGGGTCATTGTTAGGCGTTGGGTAACTATTGTGGCTAGTATTTCAGATGCTATGTTAGTCAGACTTATCCCTCTATAGTTATCACAGGATGATTTTAGCCTATTCTTATATATTGGGACGATCAGTGATTGCGAACAATCAGATAGGAGCCCGACTGGATCATCACGATAAGTAATCCCGACTATTACGTCGAGGTAACTGCAACAGTCGGGGCGATGTGAACCATTTTTACAATAACTATTATATGTTAACCCTACGTTGTAAATACAACTAGTGATTTGATGCGTAAGATAGATTAAGTTTAACACATTATATATAATATTAGAATATTAAATATTATTAATTTGAATTGAAAAGAAAATAATGAAACTTACTAAGACTTTGACGATATTCATAACGACCTGCTTCATGAGAAAATGAAAAAATGGAGATGATAAGAAATCGATAATATATGGTGGATAAGAAAACTATAAAAATTATATGCCTTATAAGCTTATTGCTTTATAATAGCCAAGATTTTAAACTAAGTGAAATAATGATTAATTGGATATATTAGGTGATTGAAGGTAGTCCACAGGAAAACTCTCGATTTAGGTTTTGTAGCTAGCTACCTTTCATTAGCAAATCCCAAGTGTAATCTTGAGATAACTAATGCTTCTTGTTAAAAATCGGACCTGCAGATTTTAAGTACTATACAACTACCTCCGCATATTATTGAAATATTTTATTATGTAATTTCTATTTATCATTCTTATTTTACTTAACAAGTTGGTATAAAATAGCTTAAATTAGCAGCTGAAATATTATAAAACAGTTGGTAAACAACCGAAAAACGACAGTAGTCATAAATTACTTGGGTAAAAGACAACAACCAGTTAACCCCACAAGAACAAAAAGCTTTGAAGGAACTCAAAACTAGAAAGGATATTGTCATAGTTCCAGCGGACAAAGGACGCACCACAATGATTATGGACAAAGAAGAATACGTCAAAAAGCCGAGGAACTACTTGAGCATAAGAGCACATACACATTAATACCATCAAAATCATCCACCTGAGCTACATATCTTCTCCACCATATCAGTTATAAAGTGTAATTATTATGCTCATAAATATGTTTTCAGTAGAAATTGTAAGCCTATTCTTGAAAAATTGAATACTTCATTTTTGTTAATTGAGTAACAGAAAATTAAATAAAATGAGGAACTAACTGAGAATATTTCAAATGTTAAATAACTGTTTTAATAATAATATTAGTCAAAAGAAAAATGAATGTTATTCGACTTAATTAATAACACTTCACCACATTGTATATAATCTTGAATGAAATTTGATTAATCTTAACTAGGATATATGTATCGTAGGCGAATTGACTCGAATAGATTGAATATGGCTAGTTAGGGGATTCAAGATATTGTTTTTGTCAAATCAGACACACTAAATATATCTACGTCCTAGTGTTAACATAAATGAAACGAAACACACTTATTGGATTCTATTACTAATTACAATTTTTCTCATGAAAAACAATCTCTATGCAAATAGTTATTTTTGATCATCATTTTTTATCAAAAGCGGTTTTGTGGAGATTTTAGAAATTTCACTGGTTGAAATCATGAGTCAATTGAAGCTAGACCACCGCGGAAAACCTGGAAGCACTGGACGGCCGTTTTGTCCTAGTATGGGCTCTTCAGCAATGAACGTCTGTTGTAAGATATCAACACACTGGTGACAGTCGTGTACGGTGGCGCAACTTCGTGGATTCGTTGAAGTTAGACATTAACACCGTTAGATGCTGACCAGCTCATTGGTCTAGTGGTTAAGCGCTCGCGCGAGAGACTGATACGTCCTGAGTTCGGATCTCGCGGGGGGCGGGATCACAGATGCTCACTGCTGAGGAGTCCCATACTAGGACAAAACGGCCATCCAGTGCTTCCAGGTTTTCCATGGTGATCTAACTTCAATTAATTCATGATTTCAACCAGTGAAATCACTTTTATACAAACCGGGATTATAAAATGATAATTATGTATTCCTTTAAACGACCTAATTGAAATAATCCGAGTGTTATGCAATGAAAATTCTGGATTTTATGTTTACTGAGTCCTAAAAATTACCATAATTTATCATTGGTGAAATTTAGAAAGTTATACATTAGAGGATTTATAAAAATTTAATGTAAGATGAGGATTGTTATTGTCCTGATTGCAGTGATAATACCACTACTACTGATAATAATGACAATAGTTAGTGATGAGAATGCCATGCAAAATAAGATATTAGTATTAGAATGGGTTTTTGTGGATACTATAGTAATTTAAATAGTTGAGTTCATGAGTCAATTGAAGGTAGACAAACCGTTTCGTCCTATTGTGGGACTTTTCAGCAGTACGCTGAGGATGAATAAATAATCAATGATAATGATACTAATTGCATAGAAAATTAACGAAATGTTGTTGTTATGTTAGAATGTTACCCGCAGTATTATTATAGTAAACGAAAACTCAGGTGTGGAGGATCAATCTATTATTTGATGCAGAATTACAGAGTTCTTGCTAAACTATGAAAACCATACATTAAATACTTCATTTGTAAATCGTTTTTCAATTGTACGTCACATTCTTCACGAATTTTCTCATTTCATAATTCTATTCTGTTTTCTCCAGTGCAATCTTTCCAATCTTTTATCGACATGCATTCAACTTTTGTTGGGCGTTACATACTACTTATGTCAACAGACAAAAGTAACATAAATCAAACTATTATTGGGTTTAAGTCTTATTATAGAGAGCTTTCTTTTCGGCTAGAGAAATCCTTGTGTTAACTTCCAGTTCAGAAATATGCTTTCTCTTTTGTGCTTACTTATAAGTAGAGTCATCTGATTCCGTTACTCATGCAATCAACGAAATTAATTCTGTTAGGGAGATGTTAAGCCATGAAAGTGAGTATATTTTTCAGTTTGACACATAAATAAATTCCCTTTTTATGTAGACATCTAACCTTTTGAACGACAGGATGTCAAAAATTGTAATGCTCTTATCATATTTTTCTTCACATGTTAAACTTATTGAAGGCTGTGTATTATTATTGATATTTAAAAGTGCTCCTAGATTGGCTGTTATGTTGCAGACAAATAAAGTGATATTTACGTAACAACTATTGTATTCCAAGTATCATGTTATAGTCTATTTTTCAGTTTAGCTAGGAAAGTGTAGGGAAAAATATTGGACATACGGGATATTTAATTGTTCATCTACCTAGTTGTCTGTAAAGTGTCTTGTTAAACATGAAGTAGATACTCATCGTTCATTTGAGCAGAGATTACTTCATTTTCTATATTGACATCAGTACTATTATTTTACTTTCCAAAATTTGTTTTCAATTACGTAATCGATGGTATCTATCAGTCAAATATTCATAAATAATAATGTTATTATCTAAAGATAATATTGGTTTTGTTTATTAAATTCTTAAATTATTTTAACTTAACTATTAATTCAAATACTCATTTAACATTGTTTTTTATTATGTCTCTAGGTAAGCTCGACCTATTCAATGTCAAACATATAGGTCCCCCCTAGTTTGTGAACTTTATGTAAGCTGTACATTTACAGAGTATCGGATTCAGAAGGTTTAAGTATATTATAGATTGAATCGGAAATTTGTTGTTATCGTTCTTTCGTTCTTTGCCGTAAAGTCCTTAGATGATTTTAATTTTTTAGAATTTAGTTTGGTCATTCATCAAGAGATTCCTCTGATTTCTATAATCATTCTTATTTAAAATGACAACATCTAGTTCTTTATCCAGTTTGATAATTATTAAGTTCTCATTTGATTTTAATTATCAAATAGTTTTTGATGGAGTTTTGCTCTCTGAGCTAGATGGTTTGATCGTGGAGTTTTTATCGTTTTTCTGAACGACATCATCAACATAAATTTCAGGTAGATGTGAAGTATTCAAATTTCTACACATGTAGTTCACAGCTGATGATGTTGTTCAGAAGAACGATAAAAACTCAACGATCAGACCATTCAGCTCACGGAACGAAATTTCAACAAAATCATTCACTTGAGCTACAAATCTCTGCTATCTCAATTATTAAATAGTATCATAATGTTTCTTCTAGGTTTGAAGCTATCACGAGTTCATTTAATCTGCGAACGAGAACAAAGACTCAATGACCAAAAACCAGTAAGCTAGCTATTCGATACGTTTCATTCCCGCTAAACAGAGGAAGAAGTCCAAGCTTGGAATATGTAAGTATATTCTATAAACAGCCAGAAACGAGCGATAACACAAATCAAAACGTATATATACAGTACAAAACCGTCCTTGGGGAGAGTTATCAAATAGCATACTGAGATATTTCCCAAGTGAGAAATACGACTTGAAGGTGACAAGAGCGTTTTGGCGCGAAAACAAAGAAATTCAAACTTTCCAAATAACATTACAAAATTAGGTCCTTTTCCAAGTGAGTTCTGGGAATCCCCAACAGTTCCATAATCAATGTGCTCTTTATATTATTTTTATTATTTTTAAATTGATTATAGTAGTCAATCATTGTAGCCTTAAATCTTTCTAGTTAAAAAAATTGTTGAACATACCATAATTTGTGTTTAATTAAATAAATTATCAAACTGATGAATTGTGTTTAAATGATTCCCAAATTAACATCTATCATAAAACGTTCAACTTCATAATGATAAAAAAAACTCTGATTAAATCTCAAAAGTCACATTGAGCTCAAATTGGATTAGAATCAGCCATAAAATCATAGATACTAATCTATATATATTATTAAACTGAATGTTCTACTATGGAATATTTATGTACTATGTGATGAAGGTTACACCCAAAATAATAAATAAAATTTACAAGTACCATGAACCACAATCTTATAGTAAACGCTGTGAAGAAATTGATTTTTATATTCCTTTCTTTTTTAACCAGTTCTTTTAATTGTCTGATATTTTTTTGTTAACATAACAAGTATCATTGATATTTAATGTGAAATCAGAAGTAAAAATGGGCGTTTCTCTAATGAGTTTGGCTAATCCCCTACGTGGAAACTTCTCTTTTTATTTATTTCTTATTTTGGCAACGAAGTTCAAACTAATTGAAGTGTCCCCCTTATTTGCGCCACAGGATGATCATAGTTGGAAAATCATTGAAAAACAAGAAGCATTAGATAGCAATTTTGTCTTACTGTGAGAATTGTTAGCAGAGAACATGTACAATCCAACCCGTAGTCAAACTAAGGATCTTCGGCCTAACCTTTGAACCATTGAGACTGAGTTTAGTGGTTTACATGTCTAAATTCAGATGCTGTACGACTGTCTTCTACTGTTTACTGTGAATAACATCTTTTCAGCTACCATGATTGAACAACGTCAGATTAAGCTCATTAATCAGGAGGTCAAGAGCTCTCCATGAAACCGAGGGTTCTGCGTTCCATCCCTAATGCGGCCGTGAGTGCCTATTCCTGAGGAGTCTTGTACTATGATGAAACTTGTCAATGCTTGTTAGATTTTAGTGGTGTTCTAAAACAAAACCGTTCGTGATGTAACCTTTTCTCTTAACTGTTATGTTTTATAGTATAAACAGAGAATGACTTTAAATTGAAGATTATTTACCTTTTTTGTCAACTTTCTAGGACATATCGAATTTCATTATGGAGCTATATAAGAATATGCTATATAGCAATATCTATATTTATTTGTTGTAATTACATCTGTTCATAATGCTTGTGACTTAAAGCAATATGGAGGCAAGGTGCACATATGTCAATAACAGACTGATCAACTGTGGACCTAAACATCAATGGGAAGATTCAAATAACCAATATGAAAATGAGTTGTATTGTTTGTTGTATATGAGTGAAATACATGAAAACAGTTAATAAAAATAACGATTATCATTAAACACATGAGACAACTTATATATGTCAAAACAAAAACTGTAGTCATATTGTTTTAGAAAAATTTAAGATACAATGTGGCATGTGTCCTACAAGTAACTTAGAGATAGTAACACTGTTGTACATATATTTTAATGTGTCATCATTATTTCATCTACGTTTCCAGAATGTTATCACTTGAATACATATGTAAATGAAGGTCATATTTATTTAACATGAGACAATTCTGTGACATGAGAATTACTAGTAGCAACCTAACACATATCAGGATAGTCAGATAACTATTTTGACACCTACAAAATAATTCACACATCAGTCAGTTAATCAGCTACAACATAGGACCAGGCACATATATACATCAGTCCAAGTTGCCATACCACATCAGCACAACAAGATGAACACCTGATTCAAAGAAGTGATTAATTTTGGCATTGTTGCTTAGTGCTACCAAAAGACTCTGCATTTTGTCAGCCTCTTCACATATAAAAACCAAAAAAACAAAAATTTCAAAATTCTAAAATTTTTTTTAATGTAACTAAACGAAGATTTTATTATTGGTTAGCAAATAGTCTATTTTGATGTTACCAGGATATAAAGAAACCACGAGTAATTAAGAAAATTTAGTTAAATTCATAAAAACTAAACATTATGATTGTCGAATTTATTAACAACAACAACAAGAAGAATGGTCTTTGATTTTCAAGTACAAGCTCTTTTTCTACTAATGTATACATGTGACCATACATTCTCTCTTCATTAATAAATATTTGAAGTTCAATTGAAAGAGTTTTGTGAAGATAGATTTAGTTTATAAATTGAATTTCTAAAAAGATAATATAGATAAAGTACTATTTAAACCAAGGAAAATTTGACAGTTGCTTTGTTTTAAAGTTCATATCTTGAATTCTCAGAAGACAATGAAGAAAAGGCCAAAGGAGAAGAGGAAGACCAATGAACACATTATGCCGGGAAATGGAGATAGACATGAGGAAAATGAACAAAAATCGGACAGAACTGGAAGAGATGGCCCAGAACTGCGTGGGTTGGAGAATTCTGGCCGGCGGCCTATGCTCCATTGGGAGTAACAGACGTAAGTAAGTAAAAAAAATGCGCTAACCAGATGAGTGCTAGCAACCATGAAATTTAAATCTTATTCTGCTTATGAAACCCTCCAGTCCAGAGAATAATACATCAGGAGCAGCTCATCACCTAAGCTGTACATCTCTATCATTTTAGACTATATTACTATTCCGTAGATTTTAATAATCAAAATAATGATTATAATAATGTTATTACGTCTATCTGTCACGTAGTTTAAAGAATATATATATGCTTTATAACATAGGAATGAGAAAGGCTTTAATGCATTAGAATCTCTTTGCTTTCTACACATAATTAATAAGCAGTAATAGATGTATAACACATTTGCATTATTACTTACCACTCATATGAAATTGTTCTATATAATGTGGCTTACAAAATATCACTCCATCTAATGATGCGAAATTCCCAACTCTAAATGAACAAATAGAAATAAAAAATCAAAGCGACAAAAAAAAGATTAATTTTGGAAGTAATGAATTGAATTAAGTTCATCAAGAGAACTTTTACAAAATCGAAATAATCTTCATAACCGATCAAGTGAACAACAATCGAATGCTCGCAAATAAATGATCTGTAGATATATTCCCGAAGTTTATGACTGATTGATCACTGGAAAATGACCCATGCCATGTGTGTCATGTTGTTCTTAGTACAGATCGAATTCTGTCGACCAAGTTGCCATGTGGCCACTAGTCTAGGTGGCTTAACATCGCTTGTACCATATTGAGATTAAATGGTCTGCACTAAGAAGGACCTGACACACATGATATTGGTCACTATCCAGTGGTCAATCAGTTGTAAATACATCTTAATCCTACAGGAGGTCAGTCGTGACCTGGATAGCTCACTGCTAACGTCTCTGACTGTGAAGCTGGGTGACATGGGATTAAATTCGTCGGAAAGCGTCGGTTTTCACAAGATTACAGGTACGCCTTGCTGATGAGTGCTCAACAGAACGAAACCTAGGTACAAGGTTTTTTGTTGACTACCTCGAACCACCATACCAAACTCCTGAATTTTTTGTTTGAGGCTATAATCTTTATATTTGATCAAATCAAACACAATACGCTTACAGACGAATAGCAAATAGTGATAGTAATAATGTACTGTGAACTGGTAACAATGAAAAGTTCTGATCACTTCAAATTAAGTCGTTTGGATAAACGAGGTGGTTCTTAAGCTAAATATTAAAATTAAGTATTAAAATTAGTCACAATATCAGTAGTAGATAAGAACGTTTGACACAGAAAGAAAGGAATGAAATAATGGAATAAAAGGTGTAAGAAAATTTTTTAAATCATGATCTAGATGAAGAAATATTTTCAATCTTCCTACCCTATTGAAACTGATTTTAAGAAGTTTTACTCAACGTTTTCAAGCACTGATCTCCACCATTACAGAAACTCTAAATACATAGTCTGCAATAATCAACATAGCTGACATCAACAGTGAATGACTCCATAGACTGATGTTACGACTTGGTTTGGCTGTCTCTATCTTTCATTCTAATAAAATTGGGCGTCGAGTTAGGCTGTGGTAAAGCACAGTTAATATATGTAATTACATGTAAATTACTTCAACTTCTTTATATGCGCGAAATCTGAGTTTTCAAACAAGAGTGAACTCTATTAGTATAGTTATAGAAATAAAAAAGACATATGCTTTGAATTATAATGCATGCAATCAAAATACAATTTGAGTGCATTCAGAGGACCTTTTTTACAAAGTAATAAAACAATGAAATTAGTGACTAAACAGGTCATAATTTTTCTAAAATACTTGATAAAACAGTAAATTCAGGAAACAATTGAGTGAGAGCTAAATTGTTAGAAATTGGTCAACAGTCAACGCCCTCAAACGCCCTGGTACGACCGAGAGTGAGGAGAGTAAGTTCTCACTCTCCAAATGATCCCACATGACCACGCGTTTATAGCCTCTGCCAGGGAAGTCCTACTTACTGCCTTCTCGTGTCGAGCGTGTTGTTTACGAAATTGAACAGACGTAAGGCGAAAGTTTTGGCGCTTTAACCGAGTTAATGGACACGAAGAGTTCACCTAGGGGAGTTGGAAAACCCTGGTTCCAAACCAATCGTGCACATGGACTCCAGTATCCTGAGTGAACAAGTGACGTATGAAACTATTGTTGATCACCGACTGCCATGGGACTGCATCACTTTACGTTGCTCCTTTGTCTTGTTGATTAGACCTTTAGGTCAAAGGCTCCGTGTATGGTCCCCTAAGAAAACTACCTGTTTCGGTTTGGGTACCCAGACAGTATCCTAGCCCTCACACAAATCAAATGAGATTTGTGTGGCGCATATATATCTGGTGCCCTCTTGTACCAAAATCTATGTGTTCAAATAAATAAATACAGCAGGTAACTAAACGATCACTTTGTTTCTACTTTTCTTGAAAGGATGAAGGCATATCTTCCCTTAAAAAAATAAAACAAATGAGATGATGGGAAAGTATAGCCTATAAGGAAAATAGAATCATTCGAATCACAAACTTGGAAAGAAATTTAAATATTAAAATTTCTCTAAAGGTAATTGTCTTTTAGCTCTGTTGATAAACTACTGAATAATTGTTTTCATTGAGAAACACTCTAAGGTTGAATACGACAAAAATAAATATACAAAATGTCAAACCACTAGGGCTAAGCAACAATAAATTTTATTTCACTTCAACAAAATAACTATTTACTCAATTAAGGAGAGTTTAGAGTAGTTATCTCTCTACCTAGAGATTATGCTGACTGTAAATAACAAAAAACAACACTGCTAACTAAAATAAATCAATCGTTCAGCTTGGAGAGAGAGAGAGAGAGAGAGGAGTATCATTAATTAACATAAATGTATTTATAATTAGAAATTATTTCAGGTAATTCAATATATCTACGAAAATTTAAAACTTAACTAAGAATGGTTTCGAAATGTTTGTTTATTTACCCTAACAACTGTATTGTATTATTTTCAATTAAAACAATTTGATTGTGATCTATTTTAGGCTGAATTTTAAAATAAAATGTCCTAAATTTATGCGTTTATTTATTATTTAATTTTAGAAAAAGAATATTTTATTAGATTTTATCGTATTTGGGTAGATATTTTTATATCATACTATTTTTGATAGAATAAACTGTAAAATTGTGTATAGAGGACAGCTGACAGACTTGTTCGAAATAATGACCGGTGGTTAGGCAAGGTTGTTTACTATCATATTTTTAAAAATAAAAGAGATGTTTAATTAACCCTAATATTTACCGCTATCCAGTACAATGTATAAAAATTTTCATTACAGGTTAGTACAATGTTCATATACAAAAGTAATACATGAAGTGTATGCATGAAATTCTATGAGAAATTGTAACCAACGAAACAATGATTTGAATTAAGATAAGAAAAAATGAATGTGATCATGATAAATCTTGAATAGTTGCTAAGAAAACACATTTGTATTAATCTAAAAAAATGAGATTAATAACTTTCCATATTTAGAAAATAATAATGGAGTAAACAATAAGCTTAAGTACTGAACTAAAGTAGTCTTAATTTCAAGTACCTCATCATGGTCAACCAAACAAATCAATATATTTGTCTTACGGTATAAAAAAAATAAAGTTTGTACAATGAAAAAAGAAGAGAAAATCAATATGACATTATGAACTAGATAATTTTTCATCATTATTAAATTTATGCAGTACAAGAAGGCACCAAATAGATATGCGCCATATTAATCATTCGATTTGTGTGACGGCTGGGATACTGTCTGGGTACCCCAACCAAAACAGGTGGTTTTCTTACGGGACCACACACGGAGCCTTTGATCTAAAGGTTTGATCCACAAGACAGTGGAATGACGTAAGGAGATGCAGTCCCATGGCAGTCGGTGATCAACAATAGTTTCATACGTCACTTGTTCACTCAGGATACTGGAGTCCATGTGCACGATTGGTTTGGAACCAGGGTTTTCCAACTCCCCTAGGTGGACTCTCCGTGTCCATCAACTTGGTTAAAGCGCCGGGCATTTGCTTTTTGTCTTCTCAATTTCGCAAACAACAGTAATGCTGCGAGAAGGCAGTAAGTAGGACTTCTCTGGCAGTAGCCGTATACACATGGTCATCTGAGACTATTTGAAGAGCGAGAGCTGACTCTCCTCACTCTCGGTCGTACCAGGGCATTTGGGGGCAGTAAAAATAAATATGTTAACTGAATTTGAAACTTATCAAAAGTGAACTTCACCATAAAACCAAACCAGATAAGTTAAAGGCTCAGTAACACTTTCTCAACTATCCAGTGACAAGATTTGTTGGAATTCACGCATTATGTAAGGAATGCTTGAATGTTGGCCATCTCGTTACAGTTTTGTAGAACTGATGGATTGCAACTAGCAATGGATTTCGCAACACACGTCAGCTCGATGTAGTTGTGTCCAAGTGCTGACATTCACGTCGAGACTCTAACCTACTCTTTTTTCATCAAACTTCAAATGATTATCCATCGAGCTGTTACGTCCGTACAACCACTAACTTGTTTAACAAATATGCGAATTTCAACACTGGGATATAGTGACTTTCAGGTGACGAGTCGAAAACAGGACAAAACATGGATCTTATAATCCATTTCTAACCACCATCCATCTGTTCTATATTAACCGACGAATATTAGAAAATAAAGAACAGTCGTTAGTTCTCAGTCATTCAACACCAAACACAACGCACATTGTACAACGAAGAGTTGCTCAGTCCGATGACAGTATTGGAGATTGATCAACGTTAAAGATGAAACAACATAGTGCCGGCTACTTTTAAATGATCAACTGATAAACTGTGCTGCTATCCAACCCAAGGTCAACTGAATATTTAATAATAAGAAATAATGAAAACATTTAACGTTGAACTAACAATGATTTACAATCGTTTTTATTATTACCTCCATATTAAAAAAATGTAATCACCATTGGTTTTGCATAGTGATCAAGAAACGAAAAACACATATTTGAAGGGATTGATCAAATACAAGCATTATTATTACTCACCTGGTTATTAAGTACAGTAAATCAATAATAATAATAAAAGTCATTGTATTAGTAGCAGTTTAACTTATAGACTAAAATTTCAAAGTTTTCCGCTTACTCAAAACGGAATTTATTGATTAACTATGAAATATAAAACAATCATATGATTTAAGGTAACTATAGCCACATAGCATGAAATGATTGAAAGCAGAACGAAGACAAGTTGTAATAGCAGCAAATAATAATAATAATAATAATAAGGTGAATATTTGTCTTTACTGCATTACAAATAGCCTTACTATTACAAATGTAAATGGGGATAATATAAACAAAATGCAAATAAACCTGCATCAAATTTATTCAATATCACTTAAAATAATACTGAAATAAAACATT